TTCTTTGTTGATGGTCTTAAACCTGATGCGACAGATTTAGTTAGAAAACAGAATATAGGATGGTAGACTGCTTTCCCTCTGAATTACAAGAGCTTGATGAGCGCTTTGAAGATACTTTGGCTCAGAAAAAAAAAATTACAGATTAACTTAATAACTTTTCAGATTAAGCACTTAGATAAATCCAGGAACAAAAACATCTCTATGGCTAGTCTAGACAAAGATACCTGTGGATATCATAAGGAAAAAGGACACTGAAAAACACTTGCTTTGCCTTAACTTTCATTGCAAGACAGACTCTAAAGTGACAAAGTACCAACTTTGTCTAACACAATGACTCCTCTTTGAGTAAGTAGATTCTCTGGTTTTCTAAAATTGCCCTTAAAACAAAAAGAAGAAATTTCTATGCAATTGTGAAAAAAATCTAGGATCTTCCTTTTTTGATACCAGACGTACACATTTCTCCCATCAACCCAGCTTTCCATCATTCCTTCCTTGGAGTAACCAAAACATTTCAGTGGTAGGAATCTCAGATATTCCTCTCACTAATCAGCATTCTCTTCTGGGCAATGAACCTGTTGAATGAATATGGTGAATCTGTTGGAGTGAAAGCTACTTTGCTAATGTGATGCCACTCTTAAATGTGCTGTGGCTGGACCACGTCTTTCTGGAATTCTATAGAAGAGAAGAATCATTTGGTGTTGGTACAGATTGATTTTCCAGTACCTGAGCCCCTGTCTGGGATAGACTCACCTAGAGCCTTGTGTAACTTTAAAAATGCCTTTCAGAAGCTCCTATGCTTCTACTCCCCAATTACCATAGACCTTTCTTTCTGTTTGTATACAAAAGATCCAAAGACAAGCTGTGAGGGTTCTAACTCAACAGCACAATGGGTTTCAAACACCCATCACTTAAACAGCCTCTCATTTTACCCTACACCAAAAGCCTACCCTCTTTGTTTGTGTTCAGTGGCAACAGCAGCAAAGTTAACTGAGGCTTCTACTGACTTAGTCTTAAGATCTCCACTTAACCTTTGGTCCTTCATGTCATGCAGATCTTACTCTTTATTGAAAACACTCAATGGTTTTCTGTTTCTAGACTGACCTACGAAATCCTCCTCTTCTCATTCACACATATTTCTATCCATTGCTGTAGTCCCCAAAGCCCTCCAACTTTTTTCCTCTCTCAAAAGAAGGAAAACCTCACCACCGTCATGCACGTATTCAGGAATTTTCCTTGCCTCACTCTGATCTCCTCGAAACTCTTTTAGACAACCCAGATTTAGAACTATTTTTGGAAGGAGCGCATTTGAGAACTGAACAAAGAAGCTATCAAGCTTAGTGTGTGATTGCAGCCCACTCAGACTTATGTGAATATTGTCTTTTCCCAGAGGCAAAATCTATACAAGTTGCTGAAATTGCAGCACTTACAATTGCAGCCTGCCAGTTAGGTAGAGATAAGAGAGCAAATATCTATACATATAACAAATATGTGTGTGGAGTAATTCATGATTTTGATATGCTTGGAAGCAATATGGCTTCTTAACTGCATCTGGTTTTCCAATTAAACATGGCAGTCACATAAAAGTCCTATTAGATGCCTTGTTTTGCCAAAGGAATTGGCTATATTAGGGTTGAGCCCCACAGTAAAAAGCAGACTCAGGGATCAAAGGGTAATGCTTTAGCAGGTTACTACACTAAATGAGCTGCTTTAACACCTCCAAGCTGTCCAGCAAGTCCAAGAGTCAAAGCCAAAACTAACTCCTAACTACTGGCATCAGGTCTTGAGTTAGCGCCAATATTAAGCATTTGATTCTGAAAAAGTGTACTGAAACAAATCAAATTGTTTTCTTCTCGCAGAAAGCTATAGTGGCACCAAGATGATCTCTTGGTCTGCCCCAAGATGCTGAAATGAATCTTCTCAAAAAGTGTTACGTGTTGTGACCCACTCTGGAAAGGCAAATTTAAAAACCATCAAAAATAAACGTTGGTAGGGACATTTCAATAAGATCTCAAAGTACATCTCTGATGTATTTCCCATCTGTCAAACATACCATCTTGAGAGAATTGTAAAGCTGAGACATAAAGACAAGCCAAAACCTTTAGGACCTTTTGGAAATCTATCTACACATGGACTTCATTCAGTTACTCACTTCATGTGGTTATGAATATGTCCTTACTAATGTGTTTTGTGTTTCCTGGTCTTCTAGAAGTCTTTCATTGCCATAAAGCAACTCATTTGATAGTAGCAAAGAAACTTTTAGACTTCGTTTTTTCCACTTGGCAATACCCACCCATTTATCTAGTGATTGAGGTACTAACTGAGACTTGTAAAGCTATCTGAAGAACTTTAGTTGCCAAGGCCAAAGGCTTTGCCCTTAGTTCTCATGGCCATTAGGGCCAGTCTAACAGGAACTCATAGACTGTCCCCATATGAACTTGTCACTAGATGCCCATTGCCTATAGGGTTCTCACCCCCTCTCTTGACTGCCGTTTTACAGTCCAACATGGCAAATACTGTAGAAGATGAATGCAGCATATTCAAGTTCATAATCAACAGGTCCAAGCAGCTTCTCTCAATGATAAGGCACAGGAACCCCTGCATGACCTTCAGCCTCAAGTCTTGGATTACAGGAAACAACAACAGCATAAGACTCTTCTCAGACTTCATTGGAAAGGATCATATCAAGTGTTGTTAGCCATAAACACTGCAGTAAAACTCTAGGGAATCAACCCTTGGATCCTTGTTTCCAGTAAAAAAGTTATCATACATTTATTTCCTAGACTTCTATATCAACAGGAGATCCAAAACAGAATCCCATGGAATCTTCCAGAAGATGACATCAAGAAGGTGGTAGCTTTTCCAAGATCTTTGGACAAAGCAGCAGGCTGCTCAAAATGGATAGCTTTTTTCCAAGATCTTCAGTTCAAGGCCTCCTGTATCCTAAAAGTAACAAACTACCACATCCTTCTTCATCTCCTTCTTTTCATAACCGTCTGTGAGATTCTTAAACTTTCTTTCCATAGTTTTGTTTCTCTGGATAAATCAGGAGGATGAACAAGTATTATACAAACCTATTTAGGTCAAACCTCCCTTCGCTATAGACTCAGGGTGGAGATGGGATTTGTTTTCCTGGATAATCCCAGATGGGGCAGGATCTTGTCTAAGAGGCATTGTCCAAGGCCTTCTAATGATTCTCATGTCAATACTTGTCTCCACAGTCATTTGCTCTATTCTCTCTAGAATTTTAAATACTTCAGCCACTCACTTGACAAATGATTAAAATTCAATCACAAAGGCAAAATTTACCAGGAAGACAGGAAAAAGAGGTACAATGTTAAGAAAAGCCCCAATGGCATCATTACCAATGAGTCTGTGACTATAATTGCCTCAAGTTATATAGACCTAGAAAACTGAACAAATCAAGATTTGGTTGAATGAGACTCAGTCTCCCCACTGACCTAGAGGAAGGACTGTGAGAATTTTCCACTGTGGCCTTCTTATGTCCTGGTCTCCTTTAGCTGTTCCTCTGTGACCCTCTTATGCATAACTTTAGCTCCTGTTTGTCTTCATCCTTCTTGAGAACATCCAGACTTCTCAGAGAATGGCTGCTAATCCACAAGAATAATCCCCTTTCTTCCCATCTGAATTCTGCATTGGGGAGCTTGGGAAAATATCACAAATAAACCCAGGCACAGCTTTGCATGAGGTAGTAACCATCCTGGAGAATCATGTTTGGAACAGAAGGTATTTGAGGCTGTGACATAGAGACCTCAAAAAGAAGTAGCTTTATAGAACGAAGAAGCTCTTATCTCTTTCTCATAACAGCCTTGGATTTAACAGTCCAGGTTTGGCCATGTCTCTGATCCATGTAGACATTTAGAGATATAACGTCTTGTTGGTCCATTATCCCTTAGAGCATAGCAGAAGCTGGTCACAGGCAGTAGCTTTTAGACTGTAGGAAGGGGAAGAAGCTGCATAGGAACACATGTCCTATGTCTTAAGGCCTAAACACAGGGGCGCATACCTCTTATACTCACATTCAGTTGGTGAGAAGATGGGCAAACGTTCACATCTAGCTGCAGGAAGGTCTAAGAAATGTGTACTAGCTGAGCAGTCATGTGCTCAATTTTATATCTCTCTATCTATCTCTCTATCTATCTCTATCTATCTATCCATCTATTTATCCACCTCTCCCTCTCTCTCTCTTTCTCTCTCTGAGTGTCTATAAGTCTCTTCCTAGATTTGATTTCCAATGGCCTAAAGAGTTATGGGAACAGAGCAGATTTCTAATATAGATAAAATGTTAAGTATGTCAGGCACCAATAGCTGCCTACCCAGCATCTATTTTTCTTTCCATCCTTTTGAAGAGAATTCGAATTCTCCCAACTAAAGACAATTGCTGGACACATTCTCTTGTAGTCCAAGGGTTCCAGGTGGTTATATGACACAATCTGGCCAATGAGATATAAATGATGCATTTCTGGGGGGGGGGTTTCTTCCTCTTTTTCCTTTATCCTTCTTTCTGCCTACTACACAGATGTACCGATGTGATGCTTGGAGCAGTAACAGCCATCTTAGAACCATAAGACAACCAGAGTGAGGATGAAAGCGAAAATGTCAATGATGGTAGAGCTGAAAGATGGGTTCTCGATGGCTCATTGGGTCATAAAACTACTTATGTGAACCATGTAAACCTTTTTGTGTTTAAGCCAATATATGGCAGACCCTCTAATATTGGCAGTTGAATGGGTTTCTAAGAAATGGAGAGGGTGAGCAAAGGAAGAGAGAGAGAGAGAGAGAAAGAGAGAGAGAGGGAGAGAGAGAGAAATTGAGAGAGAGAGAAAAGAGCTTCCTTTCTGCTCCTGCAAGCTTCCTGAATATATATATATATATATTTGTCTGTTTTTTACCTAGACTGGGGAGAGAAGAGAGGGAGGAGGAGTGATAAAAGCGTAGATATCGGTAAGCCTATGATGGACATTTTGCATTTTACCCCACAGATCCACTTCCCATCCTTCATCCTGCCTGGTGCGCTGGGTGGCTGTCCATATGGACTGCATCGACAGTTTCCTTTCCTTCCATTCTTCCATTGGGTTTGGCTAGTAGAAGACATTGGCAAGAGATCTGGAGAGCAGGAGGAAAGTAAGGTCAGGATTTTTATTCCTTCGTCTTCCCAGCTGTGCTCCTCAACTAAAGGCCACAGGCCCTCTCAGATGGCCTTCTCCCCACAACTCACTTTCTTGGTTCCTGTAACCACTTCCTCCCCTCATTCATTCAGGCTGGGGTGTAGGGTGGTGATGGATCCCTGTCCCATTCTCTGTTGCTTTTCCTAAACTCTTCCCACATTTTTGTAAACAGTTCCTTTATGAGTTCTCCTTAAATTACCCAATTTGAAAGTGCCATTTGATTTCTGCCCGGATCCTGGATGACCCATTTCTGGAGAGTGGGATTAGAGCCCTGCTTCCAGGATTAGATTCACATGGAAGCAGGAAACTCTAGAGGCAGAGACAGCCTCTTGGAACTTCCTGTGCACCGAAGCAGCTCAGTTTTATCATGTACTCGTAGGATGAGAGGGACCAGGAAGACAAGAAAGAGAGATATAATGCAGAGGTTAGAGCACAGAATCTGAAGCCAGACAGCCTGAGTCCAGCAGCAGGCAGATGCCATTACATCTTCTTCTTTTTTTTTTCTTTAACATTTATTTATTTATATTTATTTATTTATTATTATTATTATTTTGGCCACACCACTCGGCTTGCAGGATCTTAGTTCCCCAACCAGGGACCGAACCGCGTCCCCCACAGTGGAAGCACGGAGACTTAACCACTGGACAGCCAGGGAAGTCCCAGACGCCATTACTTCTGTGCCTCACTTTCCTCATCTGTAATTGGGATAATAATAGTACTTGTCTCATAAGATTGCAGTCAGGATTAAATGAAATGTACGTGTAAGACACAGAGTTCCTGGGACTTTCTAATTAATCAATAAATATAACTGTAATAATAATTATTCTTAAATACCAAGGATCAGACAAGATGCTGGTTGCTTCAGAGGATTTCTGTGTGGACAAGTGAAATCAAAGACAAATGCCCTTCTAATGAAGAATCTGATTTCATATTTTGATATTTGACTGCCGACACCTTCTAAGCCTTACCTCTTCCTCTTCCCTTTCTGCCCCACATCTGGACAAGCTGATAAAAAAGCCTGGGTGCTCACCATTTTGACACCAGCCAAACCACAAGACGTTGCTGCATGGGGACTCTCATGCCCAGCCCCAAACCCTAACCACAATAAAAGCCCAGGCCAGTCTCATTTCCTTGCTTTTTTATTTCAGACTTGCTTAAGAAGCCTATCCTGTGCACCCCAGATACAGACACCAATTATGTAAGTAATAAACATTTTTATGCCGTTTTGGTGTGTATGTGTGGCAGCATCAGTAGCAACATCTGAACCAAACTTTGGGTGTGGATCCATCTGCCTCTGCAGGTGACATAGTAGCCTTCCATTCAAAACACATTGGCACTAAAACTACTTTTGACCCACCTTGGGGTAAGAGAAGGAAAACCTTGAACTGACTGAACTTACTTTCCTTCCTACAATGAATGGGCATCTCAAAAATAGAAAATAAGTTGAATCACAGAAAACGAACTTCTATTTCTTTCCCACCTTAAGTTGTAGACTGAGATTCACATCTGCTCTATCAGGTTACTGACAATTTAGTCACTGAGCAGGGCACCATCTTGCCCAGCCTTAAAAGTCTCCCCCCAACCAAGCAAAGCAGAACGAGGACCAGAAAAGAGGGAAGACTCAATAGTGCCTAAGGTTTGAGAACTTAGACTCTGAACGGTGCTGCTTTACTTCCATCTCCTTCTCTTGACCTCCAAATTGACGACCACTGCCTGTATGCCTCTTATATCTTTACCAGGACCTTCCAGTGAGCGCACCCATCCACTGTTTCTTGACCACCAGCAGTTTCCTTTTCCTCCCTAATGTCCTTTTTCTCTCTTTTGGTAAGTTATAAAAGTATTCTGACATAGGCTCATGTGGACAGCCCCCTTCTGGGTATGGCTTAGCCCAGAAGACTCCCATGGATAGATATGAGAATCATTAGAGGAATTTAAAAAAATGAAATAGCCGCTGGGAGCCTACCTCAGACATGTAAAGTGAGACTTTGCTGACTTGGGACAGATAGGGATGGAAGAGGTGGGTTAGGAACGTGTATGTTGAAAAGAAGTTCCCCAGCTGATTCCAGTGATGAATCAGGTATAGAACCCATTGAACAGATTAACTTTGTGACCCAGGGTTATACTGATCTCGGGACGTTTGACCCAAGGATATGATAATCCCACCATTTGCTCATTGCTCTGCCATCAGCATGAGCGGTTAGTACAGAATACCCAACTTGACTGGGAATACGTTAGAGAATTAAGTCATCAATACAGAGAAATTCCAGACAGCAGAACAACTTTGAAATAGCGGAGGGAAGCTGCTCACAGTTTTCTCATTAATTAGCTAAAAAGAAAAAAATTTCCAACTATCAGTCCTTTATCCATTTCCTACTAAATATTATTGGCAGGAATACTCAGTACGAAAGAAAATGACAGTGGTGAAAACTGTACATGATAAAATTTGTTAGAGATGAAAATCTGAAGAATCGTGTCTTGATGCTCACATTGAAACAGGCAAACGTTAAACAGGGAAAAATTAGACTTGGCAGAAGTAATCAACACTAAATAAAACTGCCAACAACATGTTAAAATTTATTATTGCCTAAAAATTGACAGAAGAATCCCATTTTTTGACTAAGTTTAGGTATGAATAATTTGACCTGAGACAATTGGATTTGGCACAAATAATGGCTATAAAAGAAAAGCTGCAATTGCAGAAACTATAATCAGTAAAAATTTGATATGAGCAATAAGGAGAAAAACCACATTGAATAACATTTTCATTTAAACCTTATGTGGAAAATAATTGATTCCAATGAAAAGAATTTCAGTAAATTAAAAATTAAAATGGAAAAAAATTAGAAATATCTTAATGCCTGGGAATAAAAATTTTATCAAGGAATTATAGTAGCTTAATAGAAATTACTATGGCTCTAGAAATACTTTCTTAATGAGTATTTTAATCTATGTATGCATAATTTTAATGTAAAGTTTTAACTCCCAAACACAGGGGTCAAAATATTCTCAGAGCAGAAAGTCCACAGGGTCGACATGGATAGGTCAAAACAAAAAGGCTTAAAACTTTCTGCATCCAATTATTTATTGTGGGGTGTCAAGAAAGGAGTGGTCAGGAAAAGTCTGGAACGTGGGGTAAACCCAAGAAGGGTAAGCATTCATGGAGTGCCACCACTTCAGGTTCCTGGGGATCCAGATGGCAGGATAAGGTATGTGTACCTAGGAGAAAGAGCACAGAAAACAAATCCTTTCAAATGTTTCCTAAGCCCCTCTCTCCTTATCTAGTTTCTTACTGAGGGAACTGAACCATAATTCTAAGTCTTGAAGTTGACCAAAGTAGTCATCTCTCAAAATGCAAATCCTACTATAAAAAAGAGGAATAATAACAAGTGTAGGGGGAGGATGTGGAGAAATGGGAACCCTCTACACTGCTAGGGAGATTGTAAAAGGACACAGTCACTTTGGAAAAGAGTCTGGCAGTTCCTTAAAAAGGTTACACATGGATTACCGTATGACCCAGCAATTCTGTTCCTAGGTATATACCCAAGAAAAATAAAAACATATGTTCACATAAAAACTTGTTTACAAATGTTCATAGCAGTATTATCCATGATAGGCAAAATGGAAACAATCCAAGTGTTGATCACGTGATGAATGGATAAACAAATTTGTGCTTTATCCATACAGTGCCATATTTTGGGGCAATAGAAAGAGATAAAGGAATGATCCATGCTACAACACAGATGAACCTTGAAATCATGAAGGTGAGTGAAAGAAGCCAGTCACAAAAGACCACACATCGTATGATTTCCTTTATATTAAATGTCCAGAATATGCAAATCTATAGAGACAGGAGGTAGATTAGTGGTTGCTTAGGGCTGAAGGGGCTGAGGAGAAAATGGGAAGAAAATGCTAAAGAGTACAGAGTTTCTTTTTGGGCTGATTAAAGTATTCTAAAATTGATCGTGGTGATGGTTGCACAACTCTGTGAACATACTAAAAACCATTGCTTTGTACACTTTAAATTAGTGAATTGTATGGTATGTGAGTTATATCTCCGTAAAGACTATATTAAAAATGCAAATCTCCAAAAATGGAGTCACATTCTAAAGCCTCAATTTTTATCTCTGGGTATCAGTCTCCTTCTCTGTATACTAGGAATGATCTTACTAACTTATGAAGATGTTGAAAGAATTAATGAAGCAATGTATGTGAAAATGCTTACATATCATGTAACACGCATGGTAGAAATAGTTAACTGCCCAAGATCTGTGCTTTTCCTTCTATGGCATAGAATTGGCACAGGGAAAGAGTTGCCCAGGCAGAGACTGCAATTTCCATGGCTTCTTGCCTCCAGTTATCCCATGATCTAGTTCTAACCAATGGTATGTGAGCAGAAGTGATGTGTGTGGTCAAGGTGGTTAGGCAACTGCTCTGTCTCTTTCATCCTCTGTTTCCTCTCCTAACTGGATGCTGAGCAACTGACAGGGAGGGTGGAGCCATAAGATGGGACATGCCTGGGCTCTTAAATCCCTCTGTGGGTAAAACCCCACCCACCAGCCACCCCGGGTTGATCATCTCAGTGAGAAATAGGTTCTATTTGGTTGAAATGTTTTTGTTATAGCAGCTAGAATTACCTTCACTAACACAAAAATTTAAGTATGTATGCCCTCAATAAATTTTTGATAAAAAAATAAGACATCTGGGCTTCCCTGGTGGCACAGTGGTTGAGAGTCTGCCTGCCGATGCAGGGGACACGGGTTTGTGCCCCGGTCCGGGAAGATCCCACATGCCAAGGAGCGGCTGGGCCCGTGAGCCATGGCCGCTGAGCCTGCGCGTCCGGAGCCTGTGCTCCGCAGCGGGAGAGGCCACAGCGGTGAGAGGTCCGCGTACCGCAAAAAAAAAAAAAAAATCTTTGTCATTTGTTAGTACCTTTGGAGTTTTAAAATAAAAGCCAGTAGAGACTGAGAAGAGGACAGTTGTGGAAATCTGAAAAGTGGAGGACATGAATGGATGGGGGGTGGCCTGATACTGACTTGATCCCACCCTAAATCATATGAGGTGTTTATTGTACCATTCAGTGCTCATCCTTACTTAAGGCATTGATGCACTTCATTGAATCCCAAGGTCATGGAGCAGATACCATATCAATTCTGAGTCCTCTGCACTATTTATCAGCCCTAATCTCTACAGTGAACCTACATTCATGAGGAGGGAAACAGATAATAAATCAAACAAATAAGCAAAGCATATGATATATTTGATAGTGTTGATTGTCATGGATAAAATAAAGCAAGAAGGGAGTGTGGGAGCTCAGGAGTCATGTTCAGTTTTAAATAAGATGGTTAAGGAATGTGTAGAGAGAAGATGACATCGGAGCAAAGGCTTGAATACAGCGAGGGAGCAAGCCATGACTTCCAAACAGAGGGAACAGTGGTACAAAGACCCTGACGTAGAAACATGCCAGGTGCATTAAGGAACAGCAAGGAGATTAATGTGCTTGGGGAAGGCTAGGCAAAGGGAAGAGTGACAAGGAAGAGGCCAGAGAGGTAATGGAGTGGGACTAGATTGTATGGAGGTCTGAGGACTAGTCAAAGAACATAATGGGGGATATGAAAGAGTTCAAGACCAGAGATAATTGGCTGCTCTTATTGACTTCAGCAGTGAACGCCAGCACAATGCCCCAAAGACAGATAGGTCCATTTTCACTTCAGCAGATATCAGTTCAGGACCTAGATGTACTCCCACAGCAGGAACCAGCAAGAACTCAGATGGTGAATGGGATCCAAGATCCCCCCATCCTCCCAACACTTGCCATAATGAAGTCACATCAGTGCCTATGTACCCCAAGATGCCACTTCCTGTAGGAGCAAAGAGGGAGGAAGTTTGAAAGACTGAGCATTTACCAGACATAGATTGTTTTATCTGGAAGAGATTGAGTTATAAGGATAAGAAAATAAAGATGCTATATATTTTTTTGCACATCTTAGTTTTACTGGATTATATTTATGGTGTCCCACAGGTTCCATGGGCCTTGTTCACTTGTTTTCTTTTAATTGGTGATGGTTAAATTTTATTTTATTATTATTTTATTGAAATATAGTTGACTTACAATATTATATTGTTTCAGTTGTAAAATGCAGTAATTTGATATTTTTATAGATTATACACCATACAAAGTTATTATAAAATATTGACTATATTCCCTGTGCTGTACAGAAATAAGTGTTGGAGAGACTATGGAGAAAAGGGAACCCTCCTACATTGTTGGTGGGAATGTAAATTGATACAGCCACTATGGAGAACAGTATGGAGGTTTCTCAAAAAATTAAAAATAGAACTACCATAGGATTCATCAACTCACTTCTGGGTATTTATCTAAAGAAAAATGAAAATACTAACTTGAAAAGTTACCTGTACCTCCACATTCACTGCAGCATTATTTACAATAGCCAAGATATGGAAGCAGCCTGAATGTCCATTGATAGCTGAATGGATAAAGAAGATGTGGTACATGTACACAATGGAATCCTACTCAGCTATAAAAAGAATGAAATTTTGCCATTTGCAACAACATGGATGGATTCGTTTGCTTCCCTTTAATCATTTTTCTTTCTGTTCCTCATACTTAATAATTTCCATTTTCCTATCTTAAAATTTGCCGATACTTTCTTCTGATTGCTCAAACCTGCCTTTACCTGTAGTGAATTTTTTCATTTCAGTTACTGTGCTTTTCAGCTCCAGACTTTCCTTTTGATTTCTTTTTAGATCTTCTGTCTCTTTAATAATATTTCCATTTTGATCACACATCATCTTCTTGAGTTTTTCTATATCTTCCTTTAATTCTTTGAGCATTTTTAAGACAGTTGTTTTAAGTCTTTGTCTTGGAGATCTGCCATTAGGTCTTTACAGAGAGAGTTTCTGTTGATTTATTTTTTGCCTTTAAATGAGCTGTACTTTCCTGTTTCTTTGTATGCCATGTGCTTTTTTTGCACACTGGACATTTGAATCTAATAATGTGGTAACTCTGGAAGTCAGATTCTCCCTCTTCCCCAGGATTTGCTGGGTTTTGTCATTATTCTTGTGTTTTGTTTTTGTTTATATGTTTGTTCTTAATTGTGTCAGGTGTCTTTATGCTGAGGGTCAGGCTGAGTTGTCAACTTAAGGTCTTATCAGCTCTTTTCTGAGCCTTTCCCTGGTCATGCATGGTCACTTTCTAATTTTCCCCATATATATAGTTGTTTTTGAATGTCCTAATCTTTAACGTCTGGTTTCTGAAAGAGGGAAAAGTGAAAAATGAAGGGGGTAGGGGCAGAAGGCTGGCCCTTTAAATTCCCTGGAACTCATTTCAGCTGGAAGGGCTTGCAACAATGTGTGGAGAAGCAACAATGGCTGCCTGCCTTTTTGTCTGCACCTCTGTGATCAGAAACAGCAATCAGTGAGCAGTGCATAGATTTCCAATATTTAGAGGACAGCATCCTTTTTGCCTGCCCTGGCTCCCACAAGCTGTGTGCAAGCTGCTCCAGGAACTTCAGCACGGCTGCCTGCCATGGGGCTGGGAGTGGGGGATGGAGAGCTGCTACTGTGCTAAGAGCTGAAATTGACTAAAATTAACTGCAATTTACCATCCAAGGCTTTCCCTAGAAATCGCAAGCCTTCAACAGATTCCAGAGTTCCAAGTACATCAGAGAGATTCTGCCAATTGTTTGCGTGGGGAGATGGATTCCTGTTGCTCCCTACTCCACTATCTTCCCAGAATCCTCTATCAGTGGACAGAATCTTCCATGTTGAATAATATGTTGATTCTTATGTGTTCTATTAGTCAGTGTTCTCAAGAGAAGGAAAACCAATAGAATGTGTATGTAAAGAGATAGAGACTTATTGTAAGGAATTGGCTTGTGTAATTATGGAGGCTGGCAAGTTTCAAGATCTGGGTGAGTGAGTGAAGCTGGAGACCCAGGAGAGCTAATGGTGTAGTTCCAGTCTGAAGGCCAGTAGGCTCACGACTCAGAAAGGGCCAATGTTTCAGTTCAAGTTCAAAGGCAGGAAAAAGTCAATATACTGGTATGTAGGCCATCTGGCAGGAAGAATCCTCACTTTGGTGGGGAGTCAGACTTTTTATTCTCTTCAGGCCTTCAACTGACTGGATGAGGCACACTCACATTATGGAGGGCAATCTGCTTTACTCAGTCTACCAATTTAAATGTTAATCTCATTCACAAACACCCTCACAGAAACACTGGATAACGTTTGACCCGATACCTGGGCATCCCATGGTCCAGTCAAGTTGACACATAAAATTAGCCATCACATTTAAAATATAGAAATTATATCTGAAAACAACTGGATGTTATGGTCCCTTTAGAAAAGTTTGATAAAAGCCCAGTGGCTGCATCTTCTCAATGTGTTACTCAGATATCTGTGGAATACGCCCAGTACACTATGATCCTAGCCCTGGACAAAAAAGGCACTTTACCATTTTGGTGATGCTGACGATGAAGTGCAAGTCACTTAAGTACTTGACAGTTATATTTATGGAGCGAGACATTTCCTTTAATGCTATTTTATAGGCAAGAGGGAAATGCTGCAAACATATTTTGGAAAACATACAAGTTTGTCAGGGTCTTGAGTTACGCCATGCTCAGAGTGCAGGAGTACCTTATGTTAATATGGAACATTCACACTTTACATAAGCAGGGCTTGGGGAAGTTTCAAAATATCCGGAAAACAGACTTTGTATAAAGATGCTCATATGGTAATGATG